AGAGACGCTTCCAAGCAGCTTCCCATGTCACATCAGACAGGAAGCCAAGTAAGAGCCAGTAAGAAGATTTAAATAAAGGAGAGGAGGAAAATCTTTACCCACCCTAGAGGCAAACATTCTCACATGACACTTCTCCTGACTCTTCCGGGCAAGAGCTTTGACATTTTGACAGCATTAATACGTACCCAAGAGGCAGAACAAGCGTCAAAAAGAAATGAGAGGGGAGCAGAGAGAAAACGAAATCCTGCTGTTTGCTTGACTGTATTCAAATGCTTTGGAATAAAAGGGGAAATTCAAGGGGAATAGAAGCACCTAAGAAAAAGAACAAAACAGCCATAAGCTTCATATGCTGTTCACAGCAAAGAATCGAGCTTAAAGAATATAGCCTCTAGCAAAAACCCTAAAATGTTTGGAAATTGTCTCCTTCCTGCAGCCGTAACTCAAAGCGAAGTGGAAGTTTGAAAGTGCTGATCCAAACCTGAGTTTTATTAAAATCATGTTTACATGCAATGGTTCTTAAAGAATAAAAATCATGCCTGATAATATAGTTTAATCTTCTTTAAGGGACTTCTTTAGCAAAAGAGCCTGCCATGAAAATTTCAAACAAAACCGGCACAACAAAACAACACATCAGCAATATTCCATCACTAAAAACAGAAATGATTATTTATTTGGGTGAAAAGGCAACTAAAAAGGGAGTTAAAAATCAAGCTACCTTAAATAGTTGCATTTGGCAATTTGGGGAGTTGGGTGACTGATTATGGAATGACCTGCATGCATTTGATCAAACCACAATCCTAATGGTGTTTATGGGAAATGTATGGAACCAATCTTCGTTAGAGTGTCCAGTCAGAAACTGGATGAATATGGACATTCCTAAGAAATTCCTGTAATGGCTAAACACCTAGACAAATGCAGATGAGTGCTATTAAAACATAAAGGCATAACCTGTGAAGAATCGTGCAAGATCAGCTACTGCACTCAATCATGCTTTGCTTTGCCCAACTCCCACCAAAAAAGAACATGTCTAATTCTTAAGAACAATTGAAGAGCCCTGCTGGATCAGACCAAAATCCAGCTAGTATAGCATTCTGCTCACACAATGGCCACACAAGTGCAGAGAGAAAACCCACAACTAGGAAGTGAGTGCAGTGGTCTCCAACCCATGTTTCCCAGCAACTGAAGAAGCTTTCTGGAGAATCCATGAACATCAGGAATAGTAGCAATGGATAGCCTTCTCCTCCGTGAATTTGTCCCATCCCCTTCGAAAGACACCGAAATGGGTGGCCATCTCCACATCCTGTGGAAGTGCATTGGTATTCAGTGTACTCCTTTCATGATTTTAGCAGATAGTCTGAGAAGCTTAGCAGTCCCAAGTGACGGTCCATCTACCCAAATTGTGGAAGGACCCTGATTAGGCAAAACAAGAAGCACACTGGGCATATCGAATCCTTTCTCTGTGCTTGTGGAACCCACTGCTAGCACCCAGCAGGGAAGGGATCCTGTGGCAACTGGAAATGAGTCACAATGCTAGTTTCTGGTGGAGGTCAGCTTGGTGGGGCTTGCAGAAACGAGCTCTGATGATCTCACCCTTCATTGAGGGCACGGCCATTCATGGCCAGGGTCTCTGTTGCCATCACTGTTTCCTGAGTCTCCACTGGAGACCCAGAGACACTGGAAATGCATTGCTGATGCTGGACATCACTGATGAACTAGCAATGTGCTGGAAGTTGGACCAGCTCTCAGCCTGGCCAGCCATGGGCAACCCCAGAAGAAATGGCATAGAGGGTACAGTCATATTGCCTTCCATACCACACACTCTGGCGCCAGTCGCCAAGGGATCCGTGATCTTTTTGAGGGCCCTTCCCCACACTAGAGCCCTCCAACTTCTGTGCCCATGCTCTCAACCAGTAGGCAGGTATCTCATCCTGAGGGCCAGCTCCGACTGCAGTAGGAACATTTTAAAAAGTCAAGCAGGATCAGATCAAAGGTCCGTCCAGTCCAGCACTCTGGTCTCGTGGTGGCAAACCAGCTGCCCACAGGATCCCTCCAGCTGGATGGGTGCAAGACCTCCTCCTGGCCAGCTCCTCAGCAACCGGTGTGCGCAGGCAGGCCACTTCTGCTAAAGGATGGCGAACATGGCCTGCAAGGCTAGTAGCCACGGGTGGCCTCTTCCTCCATTAATTTGCCCCATCCCCCTTTCAAGACATCCAGATTGGTGGCCATCACTACTTCCCCAAACAGCGAATTCCATAGTTTAACTATACTGTGTGTGAAGAAGGGCTTCCTTTTCTCTGTCCCGAATCTCCCACCCATCAGCTTCATGGGACGACCCCAATGTCTGCTCTCTTTTACAATGAAGAAGCTGAGCAGGTACACAAAGTGTGCTACTTTGCAATTAGCAAATGAACTTTTGCCAGTCGTTTTCTTTTGTTTTCAGGCACTGAACAATTAATGTTTCTTGCTAGACCGACTTGTGGATCTTTATGCACATGCTGGCCCTCTGTCACTGGCTAGGGGAACAATAGGCACTGGAAAATCTCAAACCCAGAAACATCAGGACAAAAGGAAAATCCATACAATGGCCAGAGAAGGATCCACTGCTAATTCCCTGGTACTATCAGTCAGCCAGGAGACTAAGGGCACGTGTATCTGAGGATAGAGATCTGTCTGATTCCCTGGATTCCAGTCTGCTTTGTCATGGCCATCAATCCAGGTTCTTGATGAATGTGCCAAGAATTCAAGCAGCACTTCCCAGGAATCGAGCTCTGTGTGAATGCTGGACAAAGAATACCCTGTATCACACGCAGCTAGCATTGTTTCTGTTTCTGCACAGGAGAAGGTTGATGTCTTCACAACTTTTGCTCCACAAGCATTTACAGAGTTTCTCTTGGCTCAGTCCACTTTCCAAGACACAGCCAAGCACAACAGAAAGCTCACAAACACTAGAAGGACAGATGTTCTGCAGCTTCAACATATTCCAAGCTGTTGGGTTACATGTTTATTTTGCGTCATGGGAAGAAGGTAGTGGAATTCTATGACATAAATTGCTTTGAGAATCATTGGACTAAAAGATAAGACATCCTGAAAAAAAATCTAAACAAGCAAGCAGATAAATAAGATGTGAGTTGTTACTGAAGGTTACAATAAAATTGGTCCACATGTTCCAAGTTGTACATTCAGGTTAGAGTCATACAATTCTGCATTCTAGAAAGGATATCATTGTTCACAAGGACCTTCCTTGATTGTGTGAAATAGCCAACACTTAGCAAACAGTATACAGGAAAGATTGTCATGTGTATGAAACATCTGATTACCACAATGGGAAGTGGTCATGCAACTTTCCCATAGGTATAATCTGAATGTATTATACAGACCATCTTCCCAAAAGATAAACAGACATTATTGTCACCTTTATGAGACTCATTATTAATACCTGTGAATAAGGAAATGCTTGAAAAGTTGTAAGGAGAGAGCTGTTCTCCCCTGCAGAGGAGGGCAGGACGTGCTCCAACAGAGCCACACTCAGGGAACCAAGGTTCAATTTGGATGCCAGGAAGCACTTCCTGACAGTCAGGACCCCAAGGGTGTGGAATGGGCTTCCACAGGAGGTGGTTGAGGCCCCATCGGTGCGGGTGTTCAAGGACAGGCTGGACGTGCACATGGTGGGCATGTCATGAGCGGAGCCGGCTGGAGCCGGGGTCAGACTAGATGGCCCGGGAGACCCCTTCTGACTCGCGCTGTTTCTCAGTTTCTATTTCCAGAGCATGTGGTGATGGGAGAGCGAGGGGGAAGCAATTCATCCCTGATGCTTTGCTACTATGGATCTAACCAGGTGTTTAAGACAAAGAATCATAGAATACTAGAGCTGACACAGTGGCCCTTAGGAGTCTAACATGCTTAACAAGGATGCTAGGAACGGCTGTATAGCCTCAAAAGTCTCCCAACATTTTGCCACGGCAGGGGACCTTAAGGGCAACTTGCCAACAAGTTAGAGATGAAGAACTCCAGTGTTACCCAAGATCTTTTCCAAGTCTTAGCAAAGCATCTCTCTAAAATCCTCAGATTCATTAGCTTAGGCAGCATTCTGGAAAATCTGTGCTAAATATTCATTTTCCACAATCTTCAGGGACTACGCTGTTTGGCTCACTGGCCAGAGCAGGGGAGTGGAACCTCTCCTGGACTGAAAGGCCAAGGCACTTTCAGAGATTCCAGGGGTGGGTGAGGCTAAAGGAAGAAGGAGTGATCGTGAAGGAAACAGGCAGGGCAGCTACTCCAGATCCAAAAGGATCTGGACAGACTATGGAAGTGGACCAGGGAAAACAGGATGGCGTTCAATGTGGATAAGTGCAAGGTCTTGCACTTGGGGCATAGGAATGGGTGTCATAAGTACAGTTTAGGGGACAAGTGGCTGGAGAGCAGCACTTGTGAAAGGGATCTTGGGGTGCTGGTTGACTGCAAGCTAAACATAGGTCAGCAGTGTGATGCGGTGGTTAAGAGGGTGAATGCCACCCTTGGTTGCATAGCCAGAAGTGTGTCTTCTGGCCTAGAGGTAGCTTGTGATGAAGCTGGTGGCAAGCCACAAAAATTCTCTCCTGGAGGTATCACCTCCCCAATGCCCCCATTTCCCATTTCTTCTTTGCTGGATTCTGTGTTCATTTGTGTAAATCACTGAAATACATATAAATGAATAATTCCACCAGTGACTGGCCATGCATTTTTATTTCTTATTTTTGCAAGCTGTGCACAGAATTCCCAGGCTCTCCTATAGAAAGACAAAATGTGGAGCTTTGTTTTTCCATAGCCGAGTATGGGAACAGCTTTTGGATCAGGGCCACCCTGCTTGGAAGGCAGTAGCAAGCAGACGTAACCCTTCCTTCCTGTTGAGTACAGAAAGGGACTGACTAAATCACCCCCACCGAGCGGGAGAACATCCCGTGCATCGGAAGCTGCTTCAGCGTGTCAGGAAATGCGTAAAGATTAGAAAGAAGGTTACTCACCATGGAAGAGTCACCACCTCCGTTGGCAAGTGTAGCTCCCTCAGCACAGGTGGGTAGGTGGGTAGAAAGTGGACTAGCCCTGACCCCATCTATGACATCACACTCTACCTCATAAAAGGTAGTGAAAGTGCTCTGAACTCCAGTCTGATTTCCGAGAGATACAGAAAAGAGAGAGTGAGAGAGAGAGCAAGAGAAATATGGTGTCCTATTGCAGAGGGGAGCAGAAGGGGGACTGGGACAGGGATGGGGGAACATGTCCTGAAAGAGCTGGGCTCTGCCACGCAGTCTGGTTCATCACCAACGGTCTGCTATTCCTGTCTCTTGCTCCCTTCGCACAGGTAATCTACCTTGCCAGGCATGTAGCCTACACATCTTGAGGTGCGAAAGAGACACCCTGCAACTCCTGGCTGGCTGGGGCATGCTGAGAGCTGTAGGACATTCTTCTGCCTAGGCATACACAGGACTGAACTCCAAGGCTGATAGAGATGGCGAGGAGTTCGGTTCAGTTCAGTGCTCATACGGACTTCACCAAAACTCACTGTGCTCCAAACAGAGGGCCAAAAGGACTTGAGCTTAAGGGAAAATATGACAGTTGGAGAAAGCTAACCTGACCAGGTCCCATTTTGAGGCCCAGGGCTTTGAGCACTTAGCTCGTAAGAGCCTGTGACTAAATCCTTGGTATTCGACTACGTTAGGGCTGGCTCAGCTTTGCCGCTTTGTTTTTTTTCCCTGTCTTTAACAACCGTGTGGCAAGAAGGTATGTCATCGCAACCAGTGTGGTGTAGAGGGGAGAGTGTTGGATCGGGGACCTGGGAGACCTGGGTTGTAGCCCCACGCAGCCCGGAAGTTCAGTGGGTGACTTTGGGACACGGTTTTTGTGAGGATAAAATGGAAGGGAGGAAGACTATGAAAGCTGCCTTGGTTCCTCACAAGAGGAAAAAGGATGGGATATAAATTTAATGAAATGATCATGACCCTGGCATGCTGGGGATATCTCTGCCTATCACATTGACTGGGTACTGTATGGTCAGAATTTCAGTTCAGTTCCTTTTGATAAGAAATCACCAAAAATCTGTATACTGGGGAGAGAAAGAACCTGTATTCTTTTTAAAAAATATATATGCCTGCCCACCCCTTGAGATCAGCGGGAGAGGCCCTTCTCTGGGAACCCTCCAGGAAGGAAATTAGGAGGGTGAGTACCCGGAGGAGGGCTTTCTCTGCGGTGGCGCCCCATCTATGGAATGCGCTCCCCAGAGAGGTCCGTCTGGTGCCGTCGTTATTTGTTTTTCGGCGCCAGGAGAAGACCTTTTTATTCAAACTTTATTTTAATCGTTAATATTATTTATTTATTTTATACTTTGGCCAGGGCGACTTAATTTATATTGTTTTATAGGATGTTATTTATTTATGTTTGTGAGCCGCCCCGAGGCTTCGGCGAATGGGGCGGCATAGACGTTCCCTAAATAAATAAAATAAAAAATTAGTGTGGAAGAAAGCAAAACTGGCTGGTTTTCCTGTCTCTGTGACACTGAAGGCAGGCTAGAGCTAAAGCACAGGGGTGTAGCTGCAAGACTCTATTCTACACCAGTTGCGGCACTGCAGTTGCAGGTCTCCGGATCCTGTGCTGAAAGTATTTTTCTAAATTGACTCTTACTGGCATTGTGTGGTCCTTCGCTTACACTCTGAGCTGTTTGTGTGTGGGGAGGGGGGTAAATTTGTGTGTACGACAGAATTGAATGGGATCTAAGAAAAGGGAGATGAGCACCCTCTAGGCTTCCAACATGTTTGAGGGTGCTCTGATTTAAAGAATGGGCATATCCATCTCCCCACGAATTGTGAGGTACGGAACATGGGGTCCAGGATGTTACAGAGGGGGCGTGAATGCTGTGAGACTGTGTCAAAGGAGCAAGGGGACAATTTCCACCAATTTTACAAAGCACAGTTGAAATATCAAGGAGATGCCAGCAAAATGATACCAATTTGATCACTCTTTTTAGTCTAGGAGTTAGATCCAGTGACACTTGCCTATACTGAAATGTGTCCCCCCCACATATGTATGTATGTATACACACACAGTACCTATGCGATGGAAGAGAAATTAGCAAACATTTTGTCTTTAATTTCATTTGCTAGACACAGAATACCTACATGAAGCAGGTTTCTCTAGATATTTGAATGGGGAGCATTTCTTATGTCATGGAGGGCATGTAAATTGGGCCAGGGCAACAGTCCACAAACGGTCATCCAATGCTAGCTGGGTACTCTATACTTTATCACTGGCAATACTGAGATGGTTCCAGAAATACTGGCTATAGGGAAACCCACATTCAAAGGAACTATTTTTACTGGGAAAGCTGTGTAGAATTAAGATGCATCTTTCTGTTGCTGGAATTACATGCCACACAATTTTGAATCACTCCTTAAGTCCCCCCTTTAGACCCTGTGGCCAGGTTTCCTCTGTCCCTTTTATTTTTGCCTCTTTCTTTTCTAAGGAGTTCTGTCTTTAGATTGTAGGTTTGCAGTGAGGCCTATTTTATTTCATTTTTAACATTTTTGTAAGAGCACCATTCAGTGGGGCTGCCGTACTCCCCCAAACCTGGAAAGGATCTGATGGAAGGAAAGAGGAACATCGGGGTTAGGGTGCCTTTGATGTCCCCCTTGCCCGGCTGTTTAAAGATTTTCCCCTCCTCTCAAGGAGAGACTCGAGGCACGATGGGGATTCCTCAGAGAAGAGCGATGCCCCATTCCTCCGCTCCCTGCCTCTCCAAGGCACCATCCCTGGGCTGGTTCCAAGGACAGTCTTCTGTTTCCAAGCTCAGCCCATGTGGAAAGAGCCAGGTGGTCTAGTGGTTAGAAGTGCAGGGCTCAGACTCTAGAGCCCCAGGTTCTAGTTCCCACCCAGCCCTGGACTCTCAGCCCAGGGTTGTTGTTGTGAGGATCAGATTGAGAGGAGGAGAATTATGTGAGCTGCCCTGAGTTCCTTGGAAGGAAGAAAGGCAGGAAAGAAAGCGAGGGGGGGGGGGGAGAGAGAGAGAGAGAGAGAGAGAGAGAGAGAGAGAGAGAGAGAGCGCGAGCGCAATCTTTCCAGCCTAAGGAAGAGGAGACTCTGTTGGCGAAATATAGGTATATGAGGGGAGCCATGCAGAGGTGGGTAGAGACCTGTTTTCCCCTGCAGTGAAGGGCAGGATGCACTCCAATGGAGCCAAGCTAAGGGAACCAAGATTCCATTTAGATGCCAGGAAGTACTTCCTGACAGTTAGGACCCCAAAGTTATGGAATGAGTTTCCACAGGAGGTGGTTGAAGCCCCATCATGAGGGTGTTCAAGGATAGGCTGGACATGCACATGGTAGGCATATCATGAGCGGAGCTGGCTGGAGCCAGGGGTCAGACTAGATGGCCTTGGAGGTCCCATCTGACTCACTCTGTATCTGGTATAGGAACACAGAGTTTCTAAACCATGCCAACTGCAGTTTGGAGGTAGCTAGGTTGGTCTCTCAGCCCAGAAGACATTTCCAAGGTCAGAGTTGGATCACCAACTTATCCTATGTCCTCTCCAGAGAATGTTGGGAATCCATAGGATTGTGCCCTAAAGCAACTGATTTATTATTAATAGTAATATTATTCCATGATTCACAGATGGGTTTGCATGTTCATCGTGACACAGCTATGTGCCAGCCGATTTTGCTTGGACACAGCCTTCTGTTCCATCGAAACTTTTGATTTAAGCCCCTCTCGGTATTCTCTTTAATTTGGCAAAGCTCTATCACTCCTGAGCCTTCCTTCCAACTGTGTCACTATTTTTCCTGCTTTTAGGATGGATGAGTCCCTGTCTTGGCCAGTTCTAAAAGGAGGAGTCATCGTCTATTACAGCAGAGTTCTAAGTGATAAAGGGGGTTAATGTTAATATCGTTTTCCTTTGGTTTTCCACTTCAGCATTTTAATTTCCATGGTTGAAATTTCCATGCTCAATGTTGCAATTTGCTCTGAAACAGAAGCATCTGGAAATAAGTCTTTTTCGTCTCTAGTGTCACCCTAGTATAAGCTAAAGGGGTCATTAAAATAAATGATAGTGGGAAAGCGAGGAGACACTCTTAGCACAAAAGCTTTTGCTGACCCTACTGGCGAGTTGGACTGGGATGGTTCACAAACATTCTGGGACTACTCCATATATTTCCCCTGTCCACTCAATTGACCCACTACTTGAAAAATCCCTCTTCGGGGCTTCTGTTTAGCTGTGAGTGCGCATTTATTTAGCTTTAAATTTTTAAATAAATAAATAAATAAAAGGTAAACATCTGACAAGTTGGTAAGGGACTCTTCCCTCTGCTTCTCCCTCTGCTCCAGTCAATGCAATATTTTGATGCCTGGTGTGGCCTTACAGAACTAGTTTGAAACACTAGCTATAGGATCCTTCCTAGACTATAGGGAAGAATGTGATTCTGCACCACACAAGGATGGGAGGAGATCTGAAGAGGCTTCAGCGCTGGTTAGCACTGATAAGGCCAAACCTGACAGGCTGCCATGGGTCCCTCAATGCTGGAAACATGATTTGTTAAGGCAGAAGATGGATTTGAAGCAGAATGAGAAGGCTGGAGGTTAGAATATAATGATTAAGTGACGAAGGGAGGGAGAGCTAGGCTGCCAGATAAAACATAAAATAGCTCCAATATTTGGAAGAAATGTATTTCAGAACACAGGGAATACTCCGCAGGATTATACTGATGAGTAATTGAATAGAAGCAAAGGGAGAGTTTTCTCAAATAGAAAGTAGATTTAGGAAAGAAACAGACATCCCTTCTACATGCAAGCAATTTCAACCTGAAAACTATTAAGGGAAATGGATGAAGATCTGTCATTTATAAGACTGTCGTCTCATTCATTTTTTGGCACCCTGAATCTGCATAATCCTTTCATCAGGTACAACTGTGCCTGAAATAACTGCTGCTGAGCAGTTCAAGAATGGATGGTGTGAACAGATGTTCTAGGTTCACCGATGTGCTCACTTGGAATAAAGAGTATCGAGTTAACTACTATTCTTGGAAAAATGGAAGGGAAGATATTTTGAAGTAGTAGCTGTTATAGGAACACCTCTGCTGGCAGGGCCTTCCAGTTAAGGGAAGCTAAAAAGCATCCTATTCAAAGG